AAAAAAAAAAAAAAAAATGAGGAAGACCGGGAAGTTTTGTGTTTCTCACTGACACGCAGATTGGGTGTTAATTAAAGTGCTTGTTCGATAAAAAAATATTACTTTAAGAAAAGAAAACGGGAAGACAAGATCAAGTACAACCAATTTATTTTCTTACGTAGCGATAAAAATAATACACAACGAACTGTTCGACAAATGTGTCAGTTGTACATGTTTATCTAAAATGTGTTTACTAACAGGTTCTCGACAAACAAGTCTCTAGTAGTTACACTTTAACTGACAACGCTACAGTTCTGAAAGTTTAATCTCCAGAAGTGGAGGGAACAGACAAGAGCGTGCACACACAAGACCTTAGCAGGTATATACAAATCCTTAAGAGATCCTAAATAAGATATTCACGAGTTCCCACTCGTTGTTGTAACACTAGCGGGCGGCAATAATGTAGTTGTGCAAAGTTCCGATAGGTCAGAACTGTTTTTTTTATCAGTTTTATTTTACTACAAACAACGATTTAGCTTTAAAATGGTAAGCTAATAACAAACTGTTTAAAGTTATTACGAAAGCGATGCCAAACATACAGCGCCATCTCTTGCAATTCAAACTACTAACACCACCACCACATCTGAATCAAATAATTTTAAAATCACGTCACTGTAGTTTTACTTACTGTGTGTGTGTGTGTGTGTACTTACACAATCAGTAGCAGCCTTTTATCATTAAAGATACTTTATATTAATAAAAATTGGGTAAAAATCGTACTAGAAATTTATAATTTCCTAAGCCAGTCTTTACCAGAAACGATCAAAATAATAATAATATGGATAGTTAATTAGTAGAAGACAGTTAGGTTGGGGTATATTATGTGGTATTGGACGCTATATTTCTATATATATATAAATAATTCAGTGTTGTAGATGTACTGTTTTTCTAAGCAGTTGATAACTTGATAGAACATTGTTAGTTAAAATGTGAAATCCTTCCCTTTAAGGTAAGCATATAGAAAAATCAATCATTAGTCTTGAAATAACTAAGTGGTTCATAATTGGTGTGGTCTAAGATCTTACCAAACTTAATATATTTAGTGAAAATACTTTATAAACAAAAACAAACAAAGGTCAATATCTTACTTAATGGTTGAAGGAATAGCCTATATAAGATTTTGTATTACATGTACTCACTTTTCGTGCTTACATTACAAAGTAGAATATACCTACAAAAACAGTGGCAACAGATTCATATCTAATTCCATTTTGGCGTTTGTGATGTTTCATATTTATAATGACATCAAGAAAAAATCATTTTCAAAATTTTATGTCCATTATTACTTATTTTCATTAAACTAAACTTTGTTGATAAAAATCCTGAAAACTTGTACTATGAAAGACAGATTCTGAGTAGAAAAATGACAAAAAATTTTTTGTAGGTTTTTACCTGAAACAAACGTTTTATGATTGTTATCCATAAAAGTAGTACATCTCTGTACCATATTGTTGATCTTTGTGCTAATTAGGTGTTAATAAACAAGATGTCCATTGTAAAAAAGCTTTGTATGTATGAAATAATTCAAATTGTTTGTTAATTATTTTCCAAGTAGATAAAACAGAAATCCATCTCACAGGTTTAGAAATAAAAAAAAAGGAAACAGTACCTCAACAGAAAACAAAACTGTTACAACATACATAAAAGTAAAGTTTTAAATTATTTCAAGGTGGTGATTAACAATCCAAACGCCCATTTTTAGTTAAAGTCTAACAATTAATTACTTTAAACAACTAAAGGTTATACATCATATTCAGTTCCTTTAAAACATCATCTTGCAAACAAATTCATAAATATGATATTCTCAGTTTTCTTTTCTACTGGCTGACCCAAATTTTCATACCACTGCAAAACCAGAGTTTTACTTTGTTCTATAATGTCTGTCATGGAAATACCACGTCCATTCAAATAAAGATGTAAGTCACAATATTTAGAATAATTTACAAAAATAATCAGCTGCAGGTGCATACAGGTGTTTTCTTGTTAATTAGAACCATTTTTATTATAAGATATAATAGACCTAAAATTTTTATTTCTTTTGTGTAGAATTTGAAACTTCATTCTAAAATACATATCAAACTACATTACTCTAGTAAGCCTTATTATTTATATATAACATGTTTCTAGTTAAATATTATAGCAAATACCTGCTTAGAATCTTAATATAGGAGATTTATGTTTAGATGAGTGCTTATCACAGTAGAGCAATTAGCATATATACAAAGAGTAACTTGTTTATATTAAGTCGATATCTGAACTAACATACTTAGCTGTACACAACAACAACTTCCAAGGTAAGCCTATTCCATCTACTAACATGCTAGATATCTATTGTTGGCACTAAAACAACACAGATATGGCACTACATTACTTCCAAGCTTTGTTTAAAAAAAAGTCTCTGCCTTTAAAACCCATCATTTCAACTTTCATACTGTAATGTATATAAATATAATAAGGATACCTTAATTAAACATATTTCTTATAATTTCTGTCATAAATTTTTTTTATGAAGAGTATATATAATTTTTTTTTGTAAAGTTTCCCATAATAACTCACACACAGATATTTAAAAGTATAGCTCTAGGATAACTTTGTTACTTAAAATATAGTACAGAAGAATTCTGGAGGGTCACCTTAAATAACATAAAAACTGACCCCAAATGTGGTTTATACTAAGAAAAAATATCTACAGATATTAAATATAAACTTGACATTTCACAATAAGAAACCATCAACCACACACAGTATTTTCATAAGAATATATAACATAACTTCTTTTTATCCTCTGCCTGTTCCCTCCAAACCATGTCTTAGAAAGTGTACAATAATAGCATTTATCCACATGATATCTGTGATACTGCTTGTCACTAACAAATGCTTTGAATTATTAGGCTTATAAAAAAAAACAACTTAAAAGTATATATCAATTTGCTGTGTAAGTTTGAAGCTATCACATTATACAAAAACAGTAAACATGTAGGCAACCACAAGCAAACTTATTCTACAATCCATCGTATTATTTAGTGGTACAAAACAAATATTCAGGAATTGATAAAACCATTTCAAGTTGGTATCACTATAGTTTACACTTCTAAAGAAACTAACAACACCCAGCATATCTCCCAGTAATAGTAGTTTAACAAACATCACTTTCAAACAAGCAGTGGAAGTAATATCAAATTCAACATTCATCTTTGGGTGTGGTGTGGACATGAAGAAAGGATGTCTCAACAACTGTTACAAACACTAATACTAAACCTAACTTGTAGCATCATATCAAGAATGGATCTGTACAAAACATTCTGCCTGGTTACTACAACTTCAACATTGATAATTCTGTTTGACAATTACCCTGGAACAATGACAGTTATTAAGGCATTTGCTGATTTAATCTGCAGCTAATGAGAATAATGCAAATCTTTGCCCAACACTGTGAATAGAAAATAGGGCTAACTTCTTAGAATAATTTTGTGACTTAATTATAAGTGTTTTATTTCTTTAACTGGTTCAACAAGACACGTGTACATGTATTTTTATACATATATTTATATATATATTTCACTGAAAATATTCACTCAACAACAGCTTTCCATAATTTACCAAGAATACCATGTCAACAATCTTTGATATAAAACTACAAGTCCAGTACACAAGTCTTAGTCCAACATAAACATTTATTTATTTTCAATACTAGTGTAGAAAAGCTGGAGCAAGAGAGGACTGGTGTGTGTACATAACATATTGAGACCAGCCTATTCTTGAAGATTTTTATTGTTCCTGTGTGGGTAAAAGGATTGAGAGGTACACATCACAAAATACAGTGTTTGGTTTTATGGCCATTGTCTTTAGTTCTCTTAACAAACACCCAGTGGCCAGTGTTTATCTAACAATACTCTTCTAAAATTCATTTGATTAGCATGCTATAAGATATTCCTCTTCATTGAATGTTTTTCATAAGGCTAGCTCGTGTCTAAATCACTTTATCACACAATAATGCTTGTGGCACCTGAGCCAACTAGTATACCTCTATTCCACTCCTAAAGAAAACATTAATGGCCTTAGCCATGGGATTTGGGGATGGGTGGGGTCAACTGATGATTTACACACACAAAAAAACAAGAACAAAAAAAAATACTGGGAAATTATTTTTCCAGCATATGCACACCTAGCCTGATACACATCTGACTAAAAAATTGACCCCTGATGGGAAAGGGTGTAATATGACACGAGAAACATTACATTCACATTATAATATTAATCAGTCTATCACAAAGGTCATCACTATGTAGCCCAACCTTCGGCAGACACCCGTGATCTTTTGTTTAGCGGACCATCGTATTCTGAAATTGGATCTGGTGAAGAGCGCGCAGACTGTGTTAGCTGATAACCTGGTGATAAGTGGTCCGGCAGTGAGGATGTTTTCTGAAGGGATATATCTCGAGGGGGTGAGATTGGCTCACTCTTCACTTTAATTGTAAGGGGAGAGGTAGAAGAAGGTGGGGTTCCATTGTTCATAGACAGATGAGGTAGCATACTGGCCCCAGCAGTTGAATTAGAGCTAAAGAAAATATATTTGCAATAAAATCCATGACTTGATTTACATATTCTTTATGGTCCTATATCATAGAAAAGCAAAAAATTGTGTAGAACCTCATTACTATAGGATTTTTCTAACAAGTCAATAAAGTTTCTAGAGTTGGTAATTTTTGGTTTAATTGAAGAAAAAGTTTTTATACCACTAATATGATAAAAACAGTATTTTAACTTTTAGAACTTCAGCTATTGTTGAATCAAACACATTTGCTCCCCCCCCCAAATAATATATGACAACTGTAACTTCTAAAGTACAGTAACTTAGAAAACTGTAGTCCACAGTAAAAATGAGTTCCAGATTTGCAAGTTACTGTAGACCAGCAGAAGCTCGAAAAACATTTGCAGTTAAATTTGTATTTTTATTGCAACAAGGATTTCTAGAATAATACAAAATAATTCTAATCAAAGACACCAAAATCTACAAGTCCACTTGTCTTACATCTAACATTAGTTAAGCCTTTATTAATTGTGACCTATATTGGATAAAGAGATAAATTAACACTAACTTGTCTATGTTTTTTGCTTTAGCTTAGTTAGGGCTAAACTTTACTGTACTTAATACTATCAACAAATAAGCTTATAATTTTACCTAAAGACCTAACAGTAGACCATTTTAAGAACTTTGGTATGATTTTAATATGTTGTTGTACAAAAATGTCTACTAACATATATTTACATCCACCTTCTGTTTACATCTGTTTAAATGAAGTGTGTGTGCATATTCAGGACAGACAAAACTGAATATTATTACAATAGACATGTATATTACCAAAGGACTAAACAATTACTGATATATTCAAGTTAACCCTATGTGCACACTGAGGGGGGGGAGGTCAAACTGCACATTTCACAACCTTTTTAGAGTAATATTCAAAATTTAATTTAAAAGTTTTATTATCAATATATGTCAGTAAACATAGCATCAAAATATATAAGTTTTAATTTCTTAATATCAAAAGGAAATATTCAAATAAATTCTCAATCTTCATTTCTCTCTATCATGTGATAGTTCTCAACTCCAAATTGCCCATTTTAGATATTCTTTTCACCCCTATATAATTCTCTGAGTTTGCTACAAATTACACATTTACATAGGAAAATATGTAAATATATAAGAAACAACAAATTTAAAAGTAACCTATGTATATTTATTGTTATAAAAGTAACTAAAATGTAAAAATTAGAAACTTATGTTAGATCAGAAATTACATTAAAAAATTCTCCATGAAGTAAGCAAGTGAGGTGTAACTATCTATGATGTAATTCAGTACTTCATTTACTGTAACTTGCCATAAGCTCCCATCAGTTCATTTATTGCTTTGTTATGCTAGTTAGACATGGTTTAAAGAGCAATAAAACAATAAAATTAAATAACAACAGATGTGAACTGTTATGACTTTAAAGGGGAGAGTAACATTACAAAGTTTATGAGATATACATGTTAGTTCAGAAAAGGAGAGGTATATGAGAAAATAATTGTTAATGGTATGGAATGAGATATTGTGACAATATCATTGAGCTCATCCAAATTCTACTGGGGTATCAATATGCATCATACACCCAAACTGGCAAAGACAGAAATGTAATCAGTAAGAAATGAAACTTTCTAAACCACAGCTTACCAAAACTGTTCCTCAAGAACAACAGTTGTAGAATAAATTCACCCTTTTCAAGCATTTGGATTTGTGCTACAGATTGAAATCCAACCATAGCAAACTTGGATATACAAACTAAGTTTTAGGTGCAAGGTGGGAAGTTTGTATAAGTAGGTCATAGCACCTTTGGAGGGTCTGAAAGGTTAAAGAGTATTAAAATAAAAGTTTCACACATTAGGTATCACACAAACAATGTGCTGCAGCTGCTCCCAAATTATCTAGATACTGTCACAGTTGTCAGTTGAAAAATAATTTAACACAGTTCTACTGTGTGAAAAATGTCAGCATAAGGCCCGGGCTGCTACCAGATTGTACACTGAATGGTTCCCATATGATAAGAAATGTGTGTCGGCTGCTGCATATTTCAGCCTCATTTATGCATAGATGCTGTGTAGACAGACCAAAAATAGCAACAAACATTGACAGTGAAGCCACTATACTGCCATTTCAAACACATCTATTGATTGTTTGCCATTATTTCCTAACATTTGCTTCCTCTACACTTATGCCTATAACTGTAGTTGTTATGGAGTTATTGTGGTTTAAAATGTAGCATATTTTATTGTCAACTTTGTTCCATTAATGAATATTAATTAAAGTTTCAAATGACATGGCATTGAATATCATCAGTGATATTGTCACTGGGTAGGCCCACACATCATTCTGTACCACTAACAATTATTTTATATACTTCTCCATTTTTGAGTTTTTGCTATATCTTTTAAAAAAAAAAACTGTGTATGGGATAGATATTGTTAAAGGTCAACAAACAAAACACACGTCAAAGTCTATAACAATTCTAAATGAACTATTTTATCCTAAATTCAACTAATGCTTATGTAGTTGTTCTCTATTCACCCACAAGTGAAATGAATCTCATTACAAGTATTGATAGAAAGAGTCACATTGTCTACACTACCATTTGTTTTCTACAGTGTTTATAACAACTGCTACATACATGCATCTTACCTTACCTGTTGTGACTTATGGCTGCTGACAAAGATCCTTGTGTGGATGGCCAACCAGAAAGAAGGCTAGGAGGGCTGAAACCTGTCAGACTCAGTTCTGGGTTTACCTGGAAGTCACCTATAACAAATAGAATAGGGTGTCTTGAATTGGTATTTAATTTAACAATGATGTTTGTGCATCAGAACGCATTTACTAAAATATACTTTTGCACTGACAGTAACATAAGTATATAATATTAATGTATCATGCCACAATTTGTATACATTCATCACTTATAAGCATCAAAAGTACACGTGTGCAAAGCCTGATTATAATTGTGCACTAGCAATATTTCTGTGTTAAGTATCCAATTGTCTTGTTAACACGATTAGAAGTAATTTATGTATAAATACACTTTTGTAAAAATTGACTTGTATTCACCACAGACAAAATTATAATATTTTCTGCACCTTAAATTCCAGATTATATTCTGTCCACAAATATACCCAATAAAAATTTGAAATAACTTTTTCTCTATTAAATATTTACCTCAATAATACTGTCTAATACATATTTTAAGTGTATTTTTTAATTCTGTCAATTATATTTATGCAAACAAACATACTGGGTTGAAATGTTGATGTCAGGCTGGACGGATAATTGGCCATTCCTAGGATACTTGGGGCTGCCATGGAAACTACAGGAGTGCTCATAGTGCGGTTTGACTTTCATAGAAAAACGAAAGCAAAAAATTATGAGCTATCCCTGAAAGTTCTATACATCAAAAGCAACTAAAAAGTTCAATACATTTAAAATTAAGAAATTTATTTTGTATTCTTTTTTATATTCCAGTGTTAAGTTTTTAAATAACAATTACCTAGAGAAAAAAAAGAGGACTTATTTTGTGTATTAAAAGTTCTGGAAAAGAAAAAAATATATCAAAAGTCCACAATGGCTGAAAAACAATGTTCATAATTTATATACATTTATGTTATAAATGCCTTTGAACAAGAGCAGTGACTAGCAAATTTATGTACCTTCTCCTAAACACTAGTACTTCAAATTATAAAGATTGATCAAAATGTTATTTGTTCTAATCACTGTATCCATACCTGAAGGACAGAAGAAAAATCAAACTTATCATCTCTTGACATAGAAAAGACATTGCTACCATAATATTTAAATATCCTCACCAAAGAGACGGATGACGTGTGAGAATTAGGGATGACCACTCGAAGGTTGGGTCGCTGTACAGCTCCATGACTAGCCTGAGAGGGCTGTTTATTGAGATTTCCATGTCTGTTACTAGATAATCCTGGAGAACTGCTTCCAGGAATAGCTTGAGGGGAAACTGATCGATGATATCCATTAGATGTTCCTCCATTTATGTCTAGCAAAGCTCCTAATAATAGTATTGGTTGTACTTCAAATTAAAAAAAAAAATTGCACACAACTTTGAATCAATGAGTTTACCAAGTACTTAAATTTATGGGATAGAGTGGGAAAAAAACCTTTTGACCAGAACTTGTATAAATAATAGCCATACCTGAATGACAAAGTGAGAGGAAAACGTGTTTTATTTTTTAAAAATCTCTGAGAGAGGCGTTGACCAAAGCATCTTAAATTTCTCTTTGTTTAATTATAGTTAAACAAGAAAGTCATGTCTGGCATTTTTAACAGAATATTTTTACCTATAACACAGGCCTGCGAATTTAAACTTCATAAAAGTTGTTTTTGTTTTTATAATGGATTTTCCATAATTCAGCTACATAGATTTCGAAAATATTATTTATTTTTTTCTATCGCGTAAGGATTTTTTTTACAAATCGGGAAAAAAAAACTCTTACTTAGATCAAATTATTATTTTGTTTACCACAATGAACATTTTTTATTATTGTGTTGTTAACAAAAATACAAACTGAAAAAAAGGGAAGAACAATGATGTCAAACGAATATGCATCCTGATTTTTTTTTTTGAAACCTACGTCTTTTAGTCCCAAAACTACTTTCCTTCACATATTGTGTTACAACATTTTGTGAAAAATCTGTATTTGATGAAGAAAAATGGATATAATTTTCAGATTCAGCATACAGGAATTACTGCCGAAAATGTAAAAATTTCAAGATAAAAAAAAAACATTGCAGACCTGTGTAATTTGTGACAATTTAAAACAACTTACAAGATTTTTGGTTCAGGACAGAGTTACCTATAAATCTAAAAAGTAACAATGTTAATTTCAATAGTATTTACTACTGCATGAACTAAAACAGATGTGAAGACACATTGTACAAAGACATTAATATATTAGTGATGATTATTTACCTGAAGAGCTTGGACGTGGACTAATGCTGGAGTGAGGTGGCATCTGGGGTGAAGGAGGCACAAGAGTGTTATCCTGTGGATATGGTGGTGTATTTACAGGCATACTAGCTGGCATTTGGGCAAGATTTTGGCTGAGTATTGATTGCTGAGGAGGCTGAAAGAAGACAGGAATGGCTTACAACGACAGCCTTATTACTAGACACAAACAGAAATTGTGGTTTTGGTTTAGACAGGAAAATCTTGAGTAGGTTGGTTAAAACAACTCTGCAGTGACTTTGTCTTTTATAGACTTGTACACTTGTAAATGTACAGTTAAATATTTTACATAATCAGCAAAAATATATGTACGTTGTGTTAAATAAATTTCTTCAGTTTTCATTTGATATAGTCAAATACTAAGATTCACAGACACAAAAATTTAAATAACAAATGACCATAGAAACAAAATATATATATATATAATGAAAAATACTACATCAAACTATTTCTTCGAATTAATGATAAACAGGTACATTAAAATACTATGGCAAAAAATTAAAATACCATATTTGTACATCGTATTAGTATCAAACAAAATAAATAAAATTTAACCAGTTTTGTTTCAAAAATATTATCACCCAGCAGTTGATAATCATAGAATATGAAAAATTGTCCCTGTTTCATCATGATCAGGTTCTCTTCCATTTAATCAATAATCCACAAAACAACACCAATCAACCAGAACAGTAGTTTTTTTACCCTGTTTCCATTCAACTGAACACTGTTTCTCTGCATCATCAGCTCAAATTCTTCATTGATCTTGTTGTATTTGGCTTCTGAACGTGGGGTTAGTGAGTATTGGTCTGAATCTGGCTCGGGGCTATCACAGCCATTGCTGTTTTTATGTTCTTTCTTGCTAAGAGCCTGTTGGAAGTTTATATAAATGTTAAACTTCCAGTTATCAAGTACACTAAATAAATCAAAAAAGCTATGCAGCTCATAAAGTTAGAAACCAATGTAGAAATTAGAACTATTGAATTTAAAATCAAGATGAAAAATGATACTCAGGGCTCAGTCTTAGGACCTTTACTCTTTTTGATTTACATCAATGATATAGATGAAGGAATGGTCAATAAATTACATAAATTTCCTGATGATGTTAAGGGCCTTGGGTGTTGCTAAGACAGATTTATTTTTCTAACAGGGTGGTTGGCTTCTGGAATGAGTTGCCATCAGATGTTGTGGAAGCAGTAAATTTAAGTGAGTTTAAGAGAAAGTTTGATAACTAAATGAATGGTAAGGGCTGAATTTAAGATTTTTTTAATAGTGTTAGTTTAGTTTAGAGGATGGGACAGCCGAGATGAACAATAGGTCCCTTGTTGTCCCTAAACATTATAGTAAATTGTGGAAACTGTAAAAAAGTTGTTTATATTTCATACTAAATTGAAAACAGACAAATGTTGTTGTTTTGTGTAAAATGTTTTTAATTAGTTTCCAAAAATGAAAGCATGAAAAAAAGTGTAAATGAGAGATTTCAGATGGAAACTGAATTGTCAAATGATACATAAATAAAGAATGTAGCTAAACCAGATATTATAAGGTATATTAAAAATTGTTGTTAATGAAGAAAATGTCTGTTTGCAGGAGAAGCAAATAAAGGTTGCTGGACATGGTAATTTTAAGGGGATAAGTAGCTAATGGTGCCCCCTCCCATGCCCCTTCTTTCCTCCATCTATGCTTTTATTCTTTGAATCATTGCAGTTGAACTTCCTGAAGTCAACAATGGCAATGAATCCATGCCCCTTCTTTCCTCCATCTATGCTTTTATTCTTTGAATCATTGCAGTTGAACTTCCTGAAGTCAACAATGGCAATGAATTTCTAAAAAACACGAATAAGAAATTTCGATCACAAATAATGTTTGGAAATTTAATCTCAAATGCTATAAGTTTTTTTCTTAAGAGAAATTTAGTAATCAAGAAAATGCCTATTAATCTATATTTGTTGAACACACACAATCTAATATAACTTATAAATTTGTCTTCTTTCTTGGCCTTAGTGACAATATTTTTATATGATTTCCCTTCCAAACTATATACTTAATTGTGGTTAATTTTTCATTATGACACACAATTTACATTAAGTACTTACCTCTATAATGTCACTGTTTGTTCTACTTTCATGAGGTTCATTATATTCTGTATACTTGAGTAACACCTTGTCCATATCAGTACTGGCATACTGAAACAGCTTATTAGTGCTGTTGAAGATAATCAGAGCTATCTCACAGTCACAAAGCACGCTTAGCTCATAAGCCTTCTTCATCAAACCAAACTTGCGTTTCGTAAATGTTACCTGTATCCATAAAATAGATATTAATAATAATAAAAGTGAAATAGCGAATACTTTTAACACTGACAGAAATATCATTTGGCCTACATTAATTTTTTTCAGTATTTGCTCGTCAGTTATATTTATAATTAAGAAAAAGTCTACCTATACAATATATATCTAAATATAAACGTCTACCAGAAAGCAGAATCGTAAATTATAATACAAAAACTACGAATTCTCTTATCTGTGGAACTGAAAGTCTAAAATGAATAATTAAGAATAATGTGCATTAAATTGTAAAATATTAGTTAAAAAGCATTATTTTGAAATTGTAACTTTATCATTTCCCGTTTAGCTTAAACAGAGGCGTCGCTAGACGCTGGCACACGGGGCCCGCGCCCCGAATCCTAAGTTGGTGTCTTGAAAAATCAGAATAGAGAATTATGATCGATATCATACTGAAACGCGGAAAATTCTCGCGCCTGTGGGCCCAAGCCCCGAATCTTTTAAGTACTTAGCGACGCCTCTGAACCTAAACCTGATAACTTTAGAGTACCTAACATGTTAGGTATACGTGTGTTTTTATGTGGATGCCTCGATGGTGTAGGTTGTTTAATTTCTCGAGTTAATGGAAAAACCTCAAACGAATACACCAATAAAACATAGAGATATTCGTTATCAAACGAAATACAAAAAATTCATTTCACAGACAATTTCAGTTCTTGTCAGTTCAATATAAGAAATAGCTAAATTCCATACTCAGCTTTTTTTATTATATATAACGTTTTAACCGGACTCCTCTTTTCTTTTACAGATGTTCCACTTACAGTACATCAAGAAATACGTAAGTAGCCAATATTATTTATGTACACCTCTCTTGATTATTTTAAGTGTAACATATATATTTGTGATGTGAAGACAAAAGGACCTAACGATCAATTATTAATAGGCACTGAAACAAAATGCATCCATGTAAAGAAACAAGTTTCCCTAATATAAAAAGAATGTGTGCATAACGTACCCATGCTGATAATTAGAGGGTTCATGCGACCATATCAGCGTCAATTTTATTGATACTTTAACCTGTCTTATCTCACAGATGTTAAATCCTATTGTACCAATTATAGTAATGACAGTGATAGGAATGGCCATCTACTAATAACAGTTCTAGTATTAACTCTTGCAATAGGTAACTGAATAGGTATTTTGTTGCGAAATCACGTGATTACTAGATTACAATAACGATAAAACTGATAAACTAATAGATGAACTTTAAACCATACAGTTTGTTGTGTATTAGCCTTAGAATGATACGTTATGCTACTTCTTTGTGTATTAGCATTAGAATGGTGCATTACGGTACTTCTAATTACTTACAGTGGCCATGTAGTACCTTTATTCGATGTTTTAATGGAGAAAATTAATGTTATGATACAACGCATAACTCAATAGGCTTGAGAAATTTCTATGGTTTTGCTTTTTCTTCCTCATAGGGGCCAGGCGTGGCCTAGTAGTTAGAGTCCCAGACTATAGATATGAGGATCCATAATTCACCTCCTTTTGCCGCAATATTTATGTGTGTGTATCAAATCCTATTCTTCCCTTAGAGTAGTCCAAGAGTTGTCTGTGAGTGCTGTTGACTAGCTACCTTCTCTCTAATCTATGTGTTCAAGTTAGAGATGGCTAGCACAGATAACCTTTGTGTCGTGTTTCGCAAATATCCGAAACAAACACATCAATCTTCCTAACGGCAAAATTGTGCTTCTACCGACTCTATCACGGAGTGTAGATAGAAATGTAAATAGATAAATTTATTGTTGTTTTTGTTTTTAACGCAGTGCTACACAGCACGCTATATGTGATCTGTATACCGCGGGGAATCAAACCCTGCATTTTGTTTAGCTTGTAAGTTTGTAAACTTACCACTGACCACCTGGGGGACAGATAAATTTGAAGTGAATCTAGTGCCCAACTAATGACTCAATGCATTATAATTATTATAGATTTTCTGGTGTATTTTATGTCATTAAGTATCTGTATTCATCCTAACTATAGATAATTATCTTTGTTAATTTATAAGCTCTTCTTTTCTTAGTTACTTTTGCTGTGATCTATGCAGTTAGCTAATTTGTGATCAAAAGCAAGAAATAATGAATTTCAATTTAAATATTGAGATAAATGTCAAGTTACTCAAGAGAAGAAAAAATAAATATACGCAAACGTGTTTTAGCGCGTGATTAACATTTAAGTGAATTTGTTTACGCCACATGCGCTAAATAATACTATATTATTGCCTTGTTTCTGCACAACCAGACAACTCTCGAGAGATTGTGGCTGTATTCTCGGAAAAAAACAATATATGTACATATACACACATCACACCCATGGTTGAGTTAGTAACTGTGGGCTGTTGAAAGCAATTATGTGACATAAACTTTGCCTGTTTTTAACAAAGCTACTTGACGACTACCTGCACTAGCCATCCCTAATTATGAAGTGATATATAGACAAGAGGGAAGGCAGGTAATCAACACCACCCACTGCCAATTCTTGGGCTACTCTTTACGAACGAAAAGTGGGATTGACCGTATCATCATAACGCCCCCACGACTGACGAGAATTTTCGGTGACGGGATTCGAACCCACGACTCGCAGTTTGCGAATCAAGTGCCCTAACCACCTGATCATGCCACATAACAAAAAAATAAGAGAAATACAAATTATTACAAAAAAAACGTACAGATAAAAAAATTATAGTGAATAACAAAGGTATATTGGATACGTCACTTTTTCAAATGAAAATAACAATAATTTATAGATCAAATGTAGTAAATAATTAAAGCACTCAAACGATCAATGTTTTTAAGTAGACAATTTAAAAACTTTATTCCGAGACTGTCAACGGTCTTAAAACAGACACTACATGTTTCGACGTCTAATGACGTCATCCTCAGCACTGTACTAATACTGTACTCAACTAGACTGTAATAATACATATTACTGTCAAAATAAAGAAAACTGATAACAGCAAATTAGTAAGAACACCGGCGTCACTGAAGAAAAACAAACGAAACAGTTGTTTACAAACTAAAAAAATTTTGTATTTTAAATGAACAAGGAATGTCGTGACTTGTTGAACTAGGTCAATGTAAGAATTTTTAATATGAATAGGGTACCTAATGATTTTAGTCTACCTATACAGCTGAGTTTTCCAAATATTTTTGCATATTAACTTTGCGCTAAAAACATTTGGGGCGGTTTAGATAATACATATGATACACGCACCACAAATAAATCACTTACAAGAAATATAAAAAGGTTACTTTGTAAAACATTTAAAAAAACGATTCTGTAAACACCGTGTAACATAATTGTATTTAATATTGCTATGTTGCACAGAGGGTAAATAAATGTCAAGTCACGAGTGTCTCAAGGTGATCGACTCCCCAACTTAATAATATAGGTATGAAAAATAAATAAAAGGGTAAGAACCTGGAACTGATACCATTTACCTTGATATGTTAGAAATATCCCTATCAAAAGCACAAGGTGATAAAAGCTGGAAATATTTTCCCGCGTAAACTTGGAGAAGTGAAAAGGTTCTAATATAACTGAAAGCAGAATTACAGCGAAACTACAGCTCATAAACAACAAGAAAATCTGGTATAGTTATTGATATTTATAGCATTTATATAGCATTTTTGTAAGCTATGTTTTCAATGTTTTAATTTAGATGTTAGCTAGAGAGCGCATGAGGTCAAGATCTGGTAAGTTAGACAAAGATCTAGATTGGATCATTATTATAAATTCCAGTAAGCAGTTAGTAGCGAGTCACTCAATGATTCGGTGAGAGTTATCGCGTTTGTTCTGTTGTTCGATTACTTAGTGGGTTACGTATTTTATTATTTAACAACGCTAGTTATTAAGTTAAACGTACGTCTCGCAGTTTATATTAAAACGTCGAACTTGTCGTTAGTTGTAAGTGTTGAAACGTTGTTTGTACAATTAGGCCTACAACTTATAAGTGAACGTGGCTGTAGGAACGTCATCGAAAATAAGAAATATACTATTTTCTTATTGTACGTGGACTGGACTTCCTATTATTTTTACCAAATAATTCAAAAGAACCCGCCCAACAATAAGACACAATAAGAGTATATTACACATACACACAAAAGCAAATTAAGTAAAAGAAAAAAAAATCCTTTTACCTGTCGGTTCCGTTCATCTGTGATCCGAGATATTTGGATCTTTTTCCTGCCCATAGTCGACGACAGTTTAAAGCAGAGTAGAGAACACCTTCTAAGAAGAAAAAAAAACTTTCCCGGAAGTTACGTATAAGTCTCTCGACCAGCGACGTCAGAGACAAAGACAACTTCTTGCTAACAAGAGCCTCAACACCTGCGGATGTGACGTAAGCCTTGGAAACTGTGTAAGTTTAACTAAAAAAGAATAAAAAGAAGCACAATAAACAAAAAATAAAATGAAACTTAAGCACGAAATCGCTTACCTAAATAACAAAAACAATTTAATTTTTAATCTCGGTAAGCTATGTATTTATTTATGTATAATAGCAAAGCTTATTCTTGACAAAACTTGCCTGACTATCGATACCCCTAGAGATACATATTTTACACAAAGGTAAACGTTTATTTTGATCTTGTACATTTTCATATGAAAATTGCTCATTTACCCAAAGGCCCGGCGTGTCCAGGTGGTTAGGGTCGCGGGTTCGAATCCCCCGTCCCACCAAACATACTCGCCCTTTCAGGCATGGGGACATTATAATGTGACGGTCAATCCTGCTATTCGTTGGTAAAAAAGTAGCCCAAGAGTTGGCGGCGGTGGGTGGTGATGACT